TTTCCTATGCACCTAGGCCTGGCATTCCTTAGATTATTGTTTATACTTATGTTCTATAGATAGGCTTATGCATGATTATTATTTTAAATTTTACTTTATTTTATTCCGCAATAATTTTTCTTTTATATTATAGAATTGCTTAGTTTTTTTTAATTTCCTAATATAAACTAAACCTTATTATCTATCTCTAGATAGATAATCTCTATATCATCTGTGTGTCTCTCCCTAATATCTATCTACTATCATCTGTCTGTAATTTACTTGTATGGGTTCATGTATGTGTGTATGTATTTCACCCTTTTTAATTTTCTATTTAGTTTTGAATCACCTGTAATGTAGTATACTTTTTGCTATCATGTCTCTATTTCAAATTATGCATTTAACAGATTTTTTTTCTGTAAAGAGGCTGATAGAAGACCATTGATTGATGAGGCCACAGATTAATATCTTTGTATCATCTGACCATGATTACAATAAGATAGTGAGCATTAATACACTCTCACGATGCCTGGGTGACTCAATGGGTTAAGTATCTCACTCTTGATTTTGGCTCAGGTCATCATCTCAGGGTTCTGAAATCCGGCCCTTTGTCGGGCTCTGTGCTGGGCATGGAGCCTGCTTACGATTCCCTCTCTCCATCTCCCTCTGCTCCTCTTCACCCCCTTTCTAAAATGAATGAATGAATGAATGAATGAATAAATAAATAAATAAATAAAATGCACTCTCAAAGGAATTTAAGGTAAAGGAAATAGAGTAGAAAAACCAAAACCTGAGACTTACCTTTCCTGAATCATAATTAAGGAACATAAGATAAAAAAGTCACTATAGACAGAATTACAGGATTTCAGTGGTAAGTAGGATAGGGATATATCCAAAAATGGGATCAACAGCATTGTTTTTTTTTTTTTTTTTTTCTGCAAAGGTCCAGATAGTAAATATCTTAGGCTTTGCAGTCCACATGATTTTTGTCTGTCATTATAGTGTGAAAGCAGTCATAGACAATATTTAAATGAATGGATTTGGCTGTGTTCCAATAAACCTTTGTGTAAATTTGAATCCCATATAATGTTTACATGTCACGGAACAGTATTCTTCTTTTGATTTTCTTCGATCATTAAAAAATGCAAAAAAAAAAAAAAAAACGTTCTCAGTTGTTGGGCCGTGTATCAGAATAGGCAATGGTATGAATTTGGCCTGGGGCCATTGTTTGCTGATCTTTGCCTTACAAAAATGAAAGAACATTTTTGGAAGAATCAAAGTCTGAATTGCCAAATGCATCATAAATTATAAGCAACGCAGGCATTCTTGTGTATTCGTGGCTTTATTTCCACATATAGTTTTGCACGATATCTCTCACATAGTAAGTACTCAATGAGTGGTTCGCCAACAAGAAGTAAAGACTAATGATTGGAAATTCTGAGGTCACTGGTGATCTTTCCTCTTTTGAAAGAGGGAGGATGATGAAAGTCGGTTTGAAGTATGAGCAATTTAGACTGAAGGGTCAGGAAATGGAGGTACATTTCTAGACACCTTAGTGTCTGAAGAGAATTAGTTGAATGACTGGAAGGGAAAGAAGACAAAATCCAATTAATGTTTCCTTATTCTTTGCTTCTTAAATTACAAGGGAGTGTTCGTGTTTGAATAGTTGGAGACATGACTACAATTACAAATTAAATATAGGCCAGATCTTTCTGAAGGCAAAGGACAGTGGACAAATTTGTGATTCAAGAGAAGGATGAGAGGAGGGGATAATGACAGAAATTTACTGAGTTGGATGCAAGGGAAATGGAGGTGCTTGTGACGAATAACATTTGTCCTCACTATGAATGATGGAAGACGTGCTGAAAGGAGGATTATGAGGAAGGACGATGAGGAAAAGGAAAGAGAGATTAGAATTTAGAGGTTTGATGGGAAAGTGATTTTTTAAAGATTTTATTTATTACTTTATTAGAGAGAGAGAGAGAGAGAGAGAGAGAGAGAGAGATCTATTGATCAAGCAGGAGGAAGGGCAGAGGAAGAGAATCTTCTCAAGCAGACTCCATGCTAAGTGTGAGCCTGACCTGGAGATCATGACCTGAGCTGAAACCAAGAGTTGGAGGCTCAACCAACTGAGCTACCCAAACGCCCAGGGAAAAGTGTTTTTAATAGACAACACAATAAATAAAAATGGCAAAGTCCTATAGAAGATGAATGTAAATATCCACCTATTTGACCTACTTATGTTTAACAAACAGGTATCATCAACACTATTTTAATTGTTAAATCCAAACTTCTATCATCACTAGAAACATACCTTGTTTGCCTTTAAAATTTTGGAAGAATATATGTAATTGAATATGGAAATGACGTAAAGGGAAACAGATGAATTCTAACTATGAACTAGAATTATCTTTTTCTTATTGACCCTCATCCTTATTAGGTCTAACATCTTATTAATTCCTTTTAGTCTAAACGGTGGGTGTAAATTTCTATAAAAAGTGATTTAATTAAACTTCTTGATCTAATTCCTGACAATTTTCCTCATCAGTATGTATTATCTTAATTTTGTTTTGCATCTTTGGTTTTTTTTTTTTTTTTGAGCTCTTCCTTAGTCTCATTAAATGCCTAATGCATCTGAAAAACATTCCTCTAAAATTCCTATCCACAGAAATAAATATTAATCTATGTGATTTGAAAAAATAAGAGTGCTGTTGTAAAATGGGACCTAATAGACGATAATCTGAAATAATAGCATAAAGTGAAGCAAAGAAAACTCAGGGTGGCTGTCAGGAAACTTTTAATGGCTTTGTAAAAATGATTGTGAGGCTGGTCAGGGACATCTAATGGAGACAGCATACAAATAGGAAATAATTCCCAGCAGAGCAGTTTATTTTACTGTTGAATAGTTTTGTAGCAAACAAAGGGGTGGAAATTGCTCCTGGTTCGGCAGTTGTTTCACTGACAGTTATGTGTCAGGTCACTCACACTTCCTATTATTTTGGCAGATTTTGCTGGTAGCTTTTACACAACAGCAAAGAATTTACAAACAATTTTTCTATGTTCAGAGCCTTTCATCGACCTCAACTCCCACTTTTCCCCCCTCATCTTCATGCCTCTCAAGTACATATTAAGAGTCCTGGATTCTCACAAAATAGGTTCCTGTCAAAGATATTTAATATACTTCTGGAGAAATATGTTCGGCATAGAAAATAATGTTTCAGTGGACTGATGAATGAGACTATTCTGTGCGTGTGCTGGGGACAGATTTCAGGTTTGTCCTGCCTGTTGAAGGGGGCCGTGGACATTGCTCGGGATGACCCCACTGGTAATCATGTTACAGTGATTAGGGTACATTCTGTGTAATGGAATTAATGTCATGCTTCCAGAACTGCCAGAAGCACACATTGGATGTTTAGTTTTCGATTTGTTTGGTTCTGTTCTGGAAGCCTGGAAACAGCCTGTACTGTTTAGAGGAAAACACTATCATTATATGTTCCCCGTGTCTTGACTGTACCTGGCAACTTCTGGACTGAATCTTAAGAATTAGAGGACATTCCAAGTTCTCCCTGAATCAGATCTGAAGTTTTAGAGGAGAGAAACAGCAGACCACACACTGAGCTCTCCTTCCAAAGTGCTCTGGTTTTTACATCATTATCTAAACTTTATGCAAACAGATAAACCACCTACTATGCTTGTGCTCCCCCAAAAGGTGTTACTGCGGCATATCCATTTTAATTACTATATGACAAATGTGGTTTATTTGCTGTCAGTATTATCTTTAGAGTCAAAGAATGCTTAGTGGTGTTGATAATGAACCTTGTTCATTGTGTTACATGGTTATTAAATACAAATGGTGAATGGAATGTCAGCCGGAAAAAAAATCTTTTTATTTGAATTAAAGAAGGAGAGTATTCTAACTTAAGCGTTACTGACTGGAATTATACAAATCAATAAATTAGACATCTGTAATCAGTGATCATACCTAAACCATAAAGCAAATGAAACGCTAGAATCAGTGTTTATCATTACATCGTTATCATTATATAAATATCATTACACACATATTTTATGCACAGTTCAACAGATCTCTCTTCTCAGTAGTTTTCTAACTATAGGTAAGTTGAGAGAATTACAAAGCCAAAAGACCAGCATATAAAAGAAAAAACGTGAAATAAAAAATGAGCTAATGATGTCTCTCCCGTTTGTGATGTGTCTACCAGCGTGGATCACAAAGGCTTAAATATCCCTTTCACATTCATGTATTGACAAAATTCAGGAAAGGAGGAAAAGAAGTTTTTTTTTTTTTTTTTTTTTTTTTTGTTTTTTTTGCCTCATTTATGGCCTTCTTTTACAAACTCTAAATATTCAACCAGAAAACAATTGAGGGTGAAGGAGCAGAATAAAAATCTACTTGGGCAGATTAAAAGATAAAATGTGACCTTGCTACCGAATTGAAAAATAAAATAAGCATTCTGACTAGCTACCTAATTATAATTTTTCTAAGCTTCTGATACTCCACAAGTTAGAAAACTTCGAATCATTTCTGGTGGATTTGGTAGTTTTTGAAAAGATCAAGGATATGCCATGGGGGCAGCCACCGATGAGATAACCTCTAAATATATTTTAGTGTGACATTTAATGCCTGGTAAAGAAGCTTGAGATTAGAGGATTTGAGAGAAAACATTGGATTTATTATCTATTTCTGAAGTTACTGAATTATGAACAGGTAATAGCGAATGAAAGGATTATATCTTGTTAGAAATAAGTGATTAAGGTCATGATGAAATTTATATCAAAGGGTTATTCATATTGATTTATATATACATTTAATGAGCTTGCATATGCACTAATTATTGTTTTATTTGATTTAACACACACACACACTCTCTCTCTGTGTGTGTATATATTTTACTTTTGATACTGAAAGTAGTAAAGCATCAAACGTTAATTTTGCTCCTAATATGCCATACCTATGATATAATTTAAGATATTCATTTTATCCCCTATTTTCTAAATTATAGGATGAAGTCTGTCCCAAAGCTGAAGGAGATGAAGTTCAGAGGTGTGTGTGGGCCTCCGCTGTTAATGTAAAAGACAAGTTCATTTACGTTGCACAGCCAACTTTGGACAGAGTCCTTGTTGTTGATGTCCAGTCCCAAAAAGTTGTTCAGGTATGAATGATCCCTGCTTTTGAAGATGATTTAAAAAAAGAAATTTACTTGTATGTAATTCTTTACCAAGTAACTTGCCCATTGACATTTGATTGCCATTGATAACTTGTTTCATTGCTTGGATAACTGGAAAATGTATGCATTTTCTGCACACTGTCCTCTCTTTCTGTTCCTTCAGCCTAATGAATTAAAAAAATAATTTAATTTTTCTTATTTTCAAAACTTAGATTCCATAAACACGTCATAATACTAACATGGCTAGTTCCACAAAAATCAGTCTCAGTTTTGCTTATTCTGTTCAGAGCCACATAAGTTCCAGTCAGAGGCTAATTAAGGTATTTCTATTACCATTCCAGAAACAGTATTATCTCTTTCTTACTTGATTCTTAACAAAAGCCAAGATAATAGTAGACTTCATTAGATAAATGTAATTTAGTAGGCTTTACTATAGTAGTTAAACAAGTAATATGTACTTAAGTCAAAGACAGAGAAAAAAATCCTAATACACATAGTCATGGTCATGGTTATAAAAAAAACCATTCTGGTTTAAGTTCCCAAATGTTTCATCCCCTGCTCTTTCTGAAGTTGTTTAACTTGGGCAATCTATTTGTACTCCATTGCACATCAACTGAGGGGTGGTACAGGATTTGCTTCTAGGCAGTCTGGCTCCAGTTACTGGGCCCTTGACTCTTATGACCTCCTGATTCTCAGAGAAAACAAACTTAAAACAGCTTTATTAGATATGCATAATCTGCAAAATGGGACTAATAACTGTACATATCGCATAAAGTTGTATTTAGAATTACCTCAATTAATGCATATAAAACATTTATAGAAGATCTTGGCATATAGAAGTGCTTTATATCTATTTACTATCAAAATAGTTCTGAGACACTGGAAGCTAACCATTCCTTATATTTACCAAGACTTTTTCTGGCATCAATAATGTTTTCAAATCAAATATTGAAGTAGCCCCTCTCATGATTCCTGATTAGAACCACAAAAAGTGGTAATGAGTTCAACGTTAGGGCTTTTCATTCTAAGAGTCCTTAACAGCTTCATATGAAATCCCATCATCCATCTATCCATCCACTCATTCACTCTGTGTACATCTGTTGATTGCCTACTATGGCTATGTTTGGCATTACAAATAAAAGAATTAAAAGTGTTTTTATTGAAAATAAAAAAAGTATAAACAACCAAAAGCAGAATCAAACTATAAATACAGAGAATAAATTGATATTAGCCAGAGGAGAGGTAGGTAGATGGGGTCTGGGCAAAATATCGAAGAGGAGAGAGAGATATAGGCCTCCATTTATAAATGAGTAAGTCATAGGGACTAAAAGTAGAGCATAAAGAATAGAGTCATGATAGAGTAATAGCCATGCAATGGGACAGATGGTAGCTATACTTATAATGAACATAGCATAATGCACAAACTTGTCAAATCACTAAGTCGTACAACTGAAACTAATGTAACATTGTGTGTCAGCTATACTCAAATATTAAAAAATAAATAGAAATTTTTAAAAATATGCTCACAATTAAAATAACTTAGGATGGACTCATGTAATTAATTGAAAGACAAAAAGAAAATTGTTGGGCAGAATAACAAAAATCTAGCCACATGCACACTTTGAGGTATACTCTCTGAAAAGATAAAAGAAAAAGTGACATTTAAGGACAGTATAGATAATGCAGGAATTCTACTAACGACAAAACAATAAAGCTGGGGCAGCTATATTGATGTGAGACTTTAAAAGGAACTTTAAGGCACAAAGCATTAGGTTAAAGCAAGTTACTTGATAATGATAGAGAGAAAATATAAGACTAAAAATGTATGTGATTGCTTACAATTTTATCAAGTGATTATTGCCATACTACTAGTAGAGATTGGCATATGATCAAAAAGAGAAGATTTTGATACTTCAACACTTGATAAATCAACAAAATCCACGCTATATGTGAACTGAACAACACTGTTGCTATGCTTGAACTAACACATGTGTGTTAGCCTTTGCATCCGGCAATGATCAAATATATTAATAAATAATGATCAAATATATTAATAAATAATAACACACACTAAATATAGTGGCCCTGCAACCAAATATGACAGACTAAGTAGCTTAAAAGCAACATAATTCTTTTTTTTTCTCACAGTTCTGAGTCTGGAAAGTCCAAGGTCAAAATGTCAGCATGGTTGTGATCCTATGAGGATCCTCTTGCTGGTTCATAGCTGGTGCCCTTTCACTGTGTCTTCATGTAGCAGAAGGGGTGAGGAATCTCTGATGGGTCTACTTTATTAAAGCACTAATTCATTCAGGAGGGCTCCATTCTCATGACCTAATCACTTCCCAAAGACCACACTTCCCAAAACCATCACCTTTGGGGGTTAGGATTTCAGGATATGAATTCTAGGGGGGACATAGACACTCAGACCATAGCATTCACTAAGTGAAGCATTTAGTAAAAATGACCACATGCTGGGCTATAAATTAAGTCACAGGAAATAGTAATGAAAATCGTTTCATACCCATTCTCTGACACAACATTACGCTATTAATAACACCAATGTAAATGTAAAATATTAATACCAATATCAAGTAATATCGGTAATCATGATTAAATATGTTGAATCCAAATAAGACTGAGTTGTCAGGGAATTTAGCTCAGCTCCTTAATTAAAAATAAAACAGTAATAGATTAATTTAACTGGATAGTTTTAGAAGTTAGCTGAAGAAAATTAGAATAATCTGAATGAAAGAAGGAAAGTATAAAGAAATGTCTATAAAGACACAAAGGAATTAACATGTAAAAGGTAAACATTGAATTATTCAAAAAAGACTAATCAAAAGGAAACTGGGAATTATCGCAAAGAAAGAGGACAAAAGTCACAATTAACACTATTAGAATTGAATAAAAGAATATATAACCACGATCCTAGCAGAGAGTAAAAGAAACTAAGAAAGTACTAAGGTGAAAGTCATAGTAGTGAATTTTGAAAAACGAATGGGAAAAAACAAATTAAAGGGAAAACATAAGTTAATATGGTGTAATCCAATAGGAATACAAAAGGAATCTTGATTTGAGAGTCCTAAACAAAACAACAAAAAATATTCCGTCCCAGATGGGTTTAGAGGTGAAAGATGACCTGTGGCAGACTTTTTTTTTTTTTTTTTTTTTTTATCCAAGAAGCATCTTAAGCTTCTCTGGATGCGTCTTGCCTTATTGCCTCACTTGCTACAGCTACCTTCCATTTGGAGAACAGGAAGGACCAAAAATAACCTACCAGATAAACTCCTGTTGTAGGAGAAATGTGAAAACTTAATCCTTGGAGCAAAAAGGCAGAGGCTGTAGAGTGTCCTGGGTTTGCTCACGCAGCTCTGGCGGGGTGTATGGTGTTGTTGAATGGTACCCTTCTGTCATTGAAAGGGAAAGGTTCTGAATTCTAGGGGCTGCTGAATACCTCACCAGAAAGAAGGGGCGAAAGAGCAGCTGCAGTGACTTGGGCCACTCTGCAGCAATCGGTTCTACAGAAATTTAGGGATGACCATTGTTTATAAAATGAAAATTAAAAATTCAATCAATCAATCAATCAATCAATAAAATGAAAATTTTCATACCGGGTGCATTCAGTCTAGGATTCTTTCCTATAGGAATACTACTTCTTGAAACCTATTGTGGACTGTAAATACCAACCTAAAAGTTTAGATATATACCACAGAAGATTTTTTTTTAACTAAAATTTTCTAGGTTTTAATTTGTCTAAGTTTTCTCTTTCGAAACCACATATAATTTCAGTCTGTGAGCCCTTTGGATAATTAATTCCACATCTACTACCTGCTGAGTAAAAGAATACATCCTTATATTTGTCTTAATATTACCTTAGGGTATGTAAATCGTAGCCCTCAAAAGTGCATGCTTAAAGGTGAATTATAAATATCCTAATGGTTCTATTTTTATACTTGAAAATATTTCGTTTCTTAGAATTATAAAAATTCCCTCAAGGTTTTCCCAGTTTAAAAACAACACGGCAGGTTTTACAGACCTAGATATTGAACCCTTTGCTTATAAATTAATAATCCACGTAGTTCAAGTTCTAAAACTATTTAAGGAAAGATCATCTCTAACTACTTAAAACACTAAATTAAAAACAATGACAACTTCAACAACTTTGTGATTTGAGCTGTATTTAGATCCAAGGACAGACCGCACTCAAAGTCAACTGCAAAGTACAAAGTTAATTCTGTAAAATGTTAAGCATCCTTTCCCAATTTGACCGCTTTTCTCAACTGCGGCTAGGGTTGAAGTCAGTCTTTTTTGCATCCAAGTGAAGTTATACTTCCTGATTATGTGCTGTAGCTGTTGATTTATTTCTTCCAAAGCTGTGTATATTATACAGAGACAGCTAAGAATATTAATTATAACAGAAATTTACTTTACTTAGTCTTCTCCCAAACATGATAGAAGATGCCACAGAATTTTCTATAGTGTGGATAAAGAAATGGAACAGTGAAGTTCAAAATCAACCTTGAAAAAAAAGAAAAGAGAAAAAAACAGACTACTCTTATTTAACTTTAATCTTTCAAGCTTTCTTTTTCAATCTAATTAAAGTAGATCCCCAGTGTTTTATCCAGACCTTATCTAAGAAATCATATTTCTTCTTCTTTTTCATGCAAATACATGCAAAAGACTGTGCAGATTGGTATTAAATGTGTATTTAGGATTAAATATTTAAAAATTTGGAACAGCTTTGTTACATTTCATTTTCAAAATGACACATATTTTCTGACAACATAAGATTTTCGTGAAATTCATGATAAAATATGCCATTAGAGTATATTTGCTTTCAGCGGATGCAACAGTATTATTTTTATCTGCAGCTTAAAAAGTAAAAGGTCACAGTCTTTTAATGGAATCGGTGATGTTGGTGTTGCTTTAAACATCAAATGTATACATTTTTCTTACTGTGGAATTTTGTAATAAGTGGCAGACAG